TCAAAATGCATGTTTTGATGGCATGTTACTACTTAAATCGTGCTCTCCAAAGGCCCGTGACTTTGATTGGTTAATATTAAGGGATAAAGTTTGGAATAGCCGTTCTCAAGTTCTGGGGCCTTACCATGAACTCTTATTACGATTCAGTTTAGGACCTAAAATGGCTCGTTGTGAGACAGCGCTACATGAAGTGTATATCACCATCCCGCTTTTTTGTCGTTGCGAACCTATACTGAACTGTGATAAGAGTTCATGGTAACTTTAAGAGCTCTCATGCCAAAAAAGTTTTGACGTTGGTTCCGCCCAAATTTGTGAAACAAATATATGCCTGAAGTTCGCGTGATATGCGACAGGAGATGTTGATTGATGAAATTCGTTTTAGCGGAATAACTCTAAAACTAAAGGTATTAAAAAAATCCGTAGTGACAGTTGTCGATCATGCATACATATAATTAATTATTTAATTTTTGTCCTAATAACCTGTAGCATTTCGAGGATACATCGAAAAAATGTGAAACTAGAGGTCATTTCGTGATTTTTATCTATCGAGGAAACTTTATTGTTTTATGTTTCTGATTAATGTCTATGCTTGAATATATCATACAGTTACTCATAAATATTTTATTTTTAACTTTAAAGTGGATATACCCTCTAAAATCAAATCGAAGATTAAGAATTTTTCCTCTGCTCCCTCTTAAATTGAAATTAAACCTGTACGTGTGCGTACAGATTTGGCTAATGCGCCTGTATGATAAAGGGTCGCGAGCTGCAGTATTATCTCAAAAACTGCGTTATATTATATTTTATCTCAAAAACAGTGACAGTGTTGTCCCGTTATTTTACGCAACATTTAATATAACATAACGCAATTTTTGAGATAATACTGTGTTAATTGTCATGTGCGATTTATGCTTGCTTCCCTTGCGTGAGATATTAGTAGCAGTAGAGCTCTACTGCAACCTTACCTATTTCTGCCGCCAAGCAGTAATGTCAGCATTACTGTGTTTCGGTTTTGAAGGCTAAGAGTGCTGGTGAAATTATAGGCACATGGGACTTGTCAACTTATGTCTCAGGGTGACGGGCGCAGTGGCAGTGCCCCTCAGATCTTTGCGATTTAAAAAGCTCTGAGTGGCACTGCAACTGTTATGGACAGGCGTGTAGCTTACCATCAGGTGCACGACTTGTTCGTCCCGTCACTTGATATAATAAAAAAAAATTGTTACAGCGGCGCACTTAACAACAAGCGGGCAGTGCGCGCACAGCGCTCTTGCAGTTCTTTCGCTAGATTTGTACTTTTGTTTGCGAAAATTCAAAGATCTTTAGGCCTGTCTTTTTTATTTTTTTTTATTTACATGGTAGCCATAGTAACTATTTTATTACAATTATACATACTCTGTTATTGTGTAGTGTAGCATAATACGCTGCATGAACATCTTTTTTCTTAATGTTCTTAGTCTTCTTGGTTTGGAACCTATTTGTGGTTTAGTCGGGCGTTTCTTGAAATTTAAAAATGTTGGGTTCTTTTTGAAAGTCTGTTTGGTTGGGGGGTTTTTTTTGGTTGACAAGAAACTGACGTGCGGTTTTTCTTTGAGAAGAAAATGAACGAATCAACTAAATTATTGTAATTGCACGTAGACCTTCGATATACTTCTGTCTGGATGCTTGTTGTGAGTTGTGGGAACCACGGACACATGTCTGCGACATACTGAATGCAACGACTACCCTAACACCCGAGGAAATTCTGGATGCATTTTGAAATACCAGGTGCTGAGGACCTACGCCGTTAGTACATAGTCCTCCATTCGCCCGGACAGTTTATTACCGTGAAGCGTATCGTGTCAAAATTGCTGTTGACGTTAAATCATTATCTCTGTTTACTGTTTTAATTCAGCGGTGTTGTGGAACAAAAAGCGCAGTGGCAAAATACTTAGGTTTTCCCCTTTTTATATAATTCGTAACTTGTACTAATTCCGGCAGTAGTATATTTTTGTTTACCGTTTTATATGTGATGTGTCGTAGTTTGTTCATCTTCTAAATTCTGTTGTAGTATATTTCTGTTTTCCTTTTTATATGTGATGTGTGGTAGTCTGTTCATTTTCTAAATCCTGTCGTAGTATATTTTCTTTTCTTTTTTATATGTGACGTGAGGTACTTTGTATATTTTCTTAATCCTGTAGTGCTACATCTTTGTTTTTCTTTTTTATATGTGTTGTGCGACTTATTTTTCCCTATTTTTAATTCACTATAAACGCTCAATTTGTAGAGGCAAAATTTGTCGTCTGATTCGAGGCCCACCCTCGGTCCAGCGTAGCTCATACCCTGTTTATGCTACAGTAGTCAGAACACTCTATTGCTTATTAATCTATGATATTATGTTTTGTCTTGTTTTAACAGGCGTCATCACATGCTTGCGGAAACGAGATGGGTAGTGTGAAATTTCGACTAGTATTTCGCGATTATCAAATATTATAATACACAAATTAATCAAAAATCACAACATTACCCAATCAAAGTGAATAATTTAAAACTTTAAAGTTATGTTCACATAATTAGCCAAATAGCGAAATGTAAGCAACACATTGATGTAAATTAATTTTCAAAGAGGACCGCATCTCAGTCCGCCATCTTGAATGTTTGGCAACCAACTAAATTAAGTGTTGTGACCGAAACGCAAATCGAAACCGTATATCACTGAAACACACTGTGTGTATGAAACGCCGCATCTAGTACGCTAGTACATAGATATCGTTGGTGGTTGGCTATTTTCTATAACACTTATTTTCTTTGAACTCTCTTATGCATAAAACGGCAATGTCATACTTCAACCCCTGTTTATCTATAATAGAATCAAATATCGTTATAGAGTGCGCTCGCAAAACATTTTCTCAACACAACTAATTTGATTTCTTACCTAATTTAGGAATATTCTCGTAAAATACAAAATAAATTAGATACTTACAAAAATAATTATAAAATGGAAGAACAATCGCGAATATTACTGAACAAAAGGCGAAAAACAACGGATGGTTACGTTGCTTTTGATTTTTCTTTGCTTTCCAAAGAAAAAAAAATAAAACACCATCGCGTTATTATTAAGAAAGCTGTTCACAAGAAAAGACTTAATTATAAAGGCTCATCAAAAAACGACTGTTGAACAATTTTCGTTCTTATAAAACATAGATCTTACCTTTAAATGAGGAGGAATTTTCTTTCCATCTTTCAACCACGAATAATAGACAGGTGAATCTCCACTCTTCAGATTACAATGTATCTGAACAATCTGACCTTCTTGCAAATCAGGAGCTAGCATTATATCTTCTAACTGTGGAGGCTCTACCACATTCAATTCAAAAGACCTTTTAGCCATTTCACCAGATGGGCTTCGGACTATACAGGCGTAAGTCGGCCCACTGTCGCTTTTGGAAACTCTATGAATGGTCAACACTCCATCATTAGATACGCTAAGAGCTTCTCTTTTTGTTCTTAATTTCGGTTTTCGTCCAAATATTTCTATACTCAGTGCAGTGTTGCTTATCGATCTTTTGTATCGGTTAGCGATTTCTGATGTTATTTCTTTGCCTTTGTGCTCCCAGGTGATGTCTCTGCAAGAAAAATACAGAATAGTTAATAGTTGGCTAAATATTCTTTGCCCATATTCGTCATATCGCTTCATCTCTAATGTACAACAAATAACAGAACAACAGAGTGAGCCGTCTCCGTAAAGCACGTGCCATCTGTATAGTGCAAACAACTAGTTTAACATTTTTACGCATTGGCATTTAATTCTAAACTTGGTCTTCTTCTTCGTTCATCTTTATGCGGAACTAACTTTGTTAAATTAGCAAGAAACGAGTCGGCAGTCGGTATTTTACGAAATACCCAGTAGATTAAAAAACGACCTGATGAATAAATAAATAATTCGAAATTAGAATTCACAATAAGCTATACATGCTGCCATGACTCGTACGATTACAAAACTCATTAAATCCATTTAAGTTTTAAGTAAAAGAAGTGTTAATGGTTTTATTATCCAATTGCAGGGTTGTTTAACCTTTTTCTAGTCATGGACTTCTCAAGATTTCAAAGCGCCCTCGGACCCTTTTCGAAAAGACGTAGAAGAAGAAAGGCTTGCGGGCTGCTATGATGCGCGTCTCGCTTGCTTCAATAATGAATGCCCTTCAATGGGTGCGAAGTTCTAAAGGCCACGTGCTCCGTACTTATTTACTCACAACATGTTATATATATTTTTTTATATTATAATGCAATACATTAAGTAGGCTCGCCATAGACTCCCGGCGTTCATTGCACGGACCCCTTAAGGGTTCATGGACCACAGGGGGCCTACCATAACCATTCCAAAAACAATTTTATTTCAATGTAAGCATAAAGTAAGCTTAGAAGAATATTGCTCATATTCGTACCATGACAAACCAGGCAACCAAGTAATGTATTATTGCTAAAGTGATTGAAAGAACGGATGATATCCCAATATTGTCTATTCCTTACTAAAAATAGGAAAGAAATAACGCTATATGATCCATATAATGCCATCTCTTTCTTTTTTGATGTTCCCAATCAGCTTTGTTCCAATTCAGTTCCAACACGCGGCAGTTTCACGCGGTCTATCCTGCGATATTAGTCTTTACACGGAGACGTTATTTTCGTTGCAACAAAAACGAACACGAGCAATCGCGCGCGAAAGAACGTTTTGGCTTAAAAAAAATCAAACAGGTAAACGCGCACGATTGCGCGTGCAGGCTTTCCCGCGCGCAATTTTGTATGCTCCTGATCACGTGTGATAGAGTGACAGTACAAAGGGGGTTATTGACCTAGCAGACAATTTCCGTAGTAATTTGTTAGGACAAAAATGTAATGTAATGACGGTCGTTATCCCAAATGAAATAAAATTAGAATTTATTTTGTTAATTGGTGCCGATTGTCCTAAATTCAAACTTATCTTATTCTTATACTACGTCCTGCTCTTTCATCATTAATAAGAAAGGGACGGAAAATTTAATTATAACTCAAAGCTGTCTTTTGATAGCTTATTATTAATTTACTGGTGATACAAAAGCAAGCCGTCTAAAACAATGGATCTATTGGACGTCTAGTTTGACAGCTCCAAACTGAAATTAAATCAGTCCTTTTCATCATTAAGACAGCGAAAGAGAAAGACGAATGAATCTTAATTTATTAAATTTAGATAGTTTTAGATTACCGAAATTAGTCTACAACATTTGAAATCACATTGGGAGCCACAGAATTCTACAGCATTGGAAAACAATACCCGCACAATACGAATATAATGTATATCGCCGCTTTGCAAGAATAGTGGCGTTAATCAAAATACTACATTTTTGTCTTATTACACATCTGCACTCAGAATGAACTAAATATTATATCTGCACTAAATATTATAGTACAAAAATAGTACAGAGTACTAAAAAAACCGACCTCAAGTCATTCATCCTCTAGTTTGCCACCCTTAGAAGTGGAATATTTTCTTCAAATTTAAACGGGCCGATATCTGAGGTACCCTCTTTCCAACAAAAAAAGAATCATCAAAATCGGTTCACAAATTAAGTTGTCGCGTAACATAAATACAAAAAAAAACATACCTATAGTCGAATTGTGAACCTCCTCCTTTATTTGAAGTCGGTTAAAACGACTGTTTTTAAACTATCTTCCCGATGAATTGGGTGCTTTTGAGATAGGTCACTATTCTAGAAAGTCATCGATTTAATAAATTAATGTCTTTTCGTTTTTGCAAAAGCGATTTTAGGCCACAACCAAGCTTGTTTGCTTTGACGCAGCCCGATGATGTCAATCAATCTTTTATTTCACTAAAAGCATTGATAGTAATAATTTGTAGAATATTTTAAACAAATGTCCCTTGAAAATGGTTAGAAATAAATTAAATTAATACCCTTAAAAAAACTCATGAAAAAACTTCCTTTGAAAGGTTTAGTGAAATCCTATTTTCAATTCAATTTAATTGTATTCCGGAAAAGTGAAAACGGGGCGACGACGACGTAATCAAATATCTGAAAGTAATGACTTAAACGGTAACGGAAATACTTTACTGTACTGTAATTTATTGTGTTAACACAATAAATTAAGTCGTACAAAAAATATACCATGACATTACAAAATAATAATAATTATTACAATATTATATTCTATAGTATGTAAGTACTTAATCATAATTAAGTATCATGTCCAATATCCGTGAACGGAATGGAACAAAGAATCTTACCTGATCGGATATCCGTAGTAGGGACATCTAAGGGAAACACTTTTACCGCTTTGAACTTTGAACGGCGGCAGCGTCCGGATGTATGGTGCACCTGTCGACAACACAATCCCTATTAAGTGTAAAATTCGACCTCAATTTCAAAATTTAATCATACCATGATACGTAGGAATTATTGGCTATTTTAATAAGTGCCAAAATACAAATGTTAAACGTTATGAACATTAGAGACCACAACGCGCTGTGGACGTTTTATTTTCGATCAATAAGTGTTTTCGTTCTTTAAACCTAACACTTAAATGTCATCGAACTAAAGCCCATTATTCAAAAATCAATATCATTCATTTTAATTCATACATCTACAGATTAAAGCACTTAAGTTAGATTCATTTGTTATTAATTCTGTGGAAACAGTATGATCTAGGGTCAGGACATGACTGAGAAGGTCCTTGTGCTTGCACAGGTTACATATAGTGCCCTTCTTGCATACTCTAAGGACCTATATACTCCCTGTATACTCGGTAGGGAGAGTCACTGTAATCAAAACTTATGTAGAAAGGAAATTTTGCACGTGCGCCACTTAGGTTGTTTTCGGCTCATTTCGAAAGACCCATACGCTAGATTGCTGCTTTGTTTTGGGATCGTAACTATAAATCCATATTTTGTCGCCTGTTATTATGTCCCACACCAAATTTGACGCCCCTTCGTTGAATCTGGTAAGCATGGCTTTGCACCAAGTGACGCGATCCGTTTTTTGAGCCTCAGTCAAATTGTGTGAGATCTACCGAGAGCACAGCTTTTTCACATCCAAATGTTTGTGTAATATTGATTATATTTGACTCATACCTATGCCTAAATATGCCCAAATCTCATGGTATGTCACATGCCTGTCTGTTTCGATCTTACGGCGCACATCATCAATGTTTTTGTTGTTCACAGCAGTGGACGGGCGACCATCACGATATTCATCACTGAGATTCACACGACCGCATTTTAATTCTGCAAACCAGCTATAAATAGTAGTCTTGCATGGTGCTTCATCGCCAAAAGCAGTTTGAAGCCGAGCGAAGCTCCGCTGAGCTGTTAACTTACACTTACACTCGTAGAAAATCGTACTACGAAAATTTTCACAAGTTAAATCCATGGTGATGTAGACAACCAATTTCTAAAATGACGCCACAATGTAAAAACAAGTGACAGTCAGATGAAACAAACTGCATTCTACAGGCAAAGTGTTCCATTTTCAAATATTGTGATTACTTTTTAAATATTGTTTATGTAAGTGGCCAGTTCCGGAAACTTATAGCGCCCTATGTATATATACGCTCTTTGGCGAAATTAACAGTTGACACTAGACTACAATTCCGAATTCACAATGTGACAATCAAGACTAAGCTTGTTTCATTTATTTTCTTTCATGAAAATGCGGAAAAATAATTTAAAACAACGTAATGTTAATAAATTTTATTATTTACATACTTTTCTTTTTTTGGCAATTAAAATTCTCTAAATGTAAATAATATTAAGTAGGTACTTTAACGTCATACTACGATGGGACGATTCGGAACATCAAAAAAGACAGAGATAGCATTATACAGTTTATCAAAAAAGAAAGAGATAGCATTATACAGTTCATATAGCGTTATTTCTTTCCTATTTTTAGTAAGGAATAGACAATATCGGGAAATCATTCGTTCTTTCAGTCACTTTAGCAATAATACATTACTTGGTTGACGGGTTGGTTATGGTACGAATATGAGTTATATTATAATAAGCTTCTTTAAGCTTTTCTTTTAAAATAAGATTGTTTTTTGAAAGGTTATGTTAGGCGCCCAATTCTGCGAGCAATATGTCCCTCACACAGCCATTCAATTTTTGCAATTCTTAGGGCTATGTAGGTTGCTCTCTTTGCGTAGTATAGTATAACCAAAGCCTATATTACTACAACCAAAGCCTATAATCTTATCATTCGTGTAGTCTTCAACGGCTTCTCTAATTCCGCAGTCGTTTCGAGTCGACGAATAAAAACGACCAATTACTCGACTAACTATAGATTTACAGTTGTAGCAGCTGATCAATACCTTTTCAGTTAGCCAATTATTGTAAAGGACGTGCAATACATTTTTACAGATCAAAGCGATTTATTTCCTTTTTGGACGTTTCAACAAATAATATCTCACTGCTGGTTTGGTCCTTAATACTTAAGGCCCCCGCCTTAAGACTTTACAAATCTTTGAACAAACACGCGTCATCAAAATTTCGCAAAAATTCCGAAAAACTTCTGTAGGGCTAGCACGACAAGACGCGATTAGCGCGAGAGCGACATAAATCGCGTTATACTCTATGTGAGAATAACAGTATCTCGCTCTGCCCTATTGGGTGCGATCCTAGTTCGAACCCAAGGCCTCTGGTTGAGAGACGGTAGGATAGACCATTAGGATACCACGGTTTTTTTTTAAAGGCCTAGTATGTATAATAATAATTAACTGCCTCCGTGGTCAAACGATTACCATGCCGGAAAGCCACGCAGAGGTCCCAGGTTTTTCGGGCCTGGAGAAATATTTGTATGGCCTACATTTATTTCTATCGTGTGTTTGGGTATAATTTGTGGTTGTCTTTGTGTGTGTCCATGGCACCTGCGACACAGGGTTTCCCTAGTGCGGGGCTATGGTGAGTGTGTGCGTTATTATTTATTTAATAATAAGAATAATATAGGTACCTTAGCCGAACGGAAGAAAATATTATGCCCTTTTGTCCTTCAAAAATGGAAAATGAAAAAAGTCCCATTTGCGGAAAACACAAGTCGAGCACTTGTCCTTAGTGCCTTACAGGCCAATTTTATTTTATTTACATTCTTATAGTAAATTATACACTTTATTGATTTTCTCAAATTTATAGTTATAATTTTTCATCATTATAATAGTTCCAAAGAAGATATCTAAATATTTTTTAGATTTCCAAAGTGAGAAAGACCTATTTTTTATCGCTCGATTATATTTTTAATTTTTTATTTGATATCGATTTTTAAAAATAAAAATACAAATAATCCTCTTTTTTTTTAAAAAGCAAAATGACTCTTATACATTACCACAGACCACAGATACAAAAAAAATATACACAATCAAAATTATGTGTACTTAAACGGTCACACTTCGAATCGACGTATGGTTATCTTTAACGTACTATGGTTTATGGCATCTAGGGTTAGACGGTTTGTCATTTATCTTCTAAGAACTATACATTTATAATAATCATAGCACTATTAAAATATTCCAGTTTTCCGCAACCGTTAAAATTGCAGTAGTGTATGACAGACAAAATTTCTAATGTCCCAATAGGTGACTATGGCAAAATGAGATCAATGTACTAGTATTTGACAGGACATTATGTTAAGATTTCATAATTATTCAATTGCACTAATTACTTCATAACAATAAATTTAACGTAGAACAAAAGCCAAAATCAAGCAAGATACTTTCATTAAAATTAATAAGTACATCAATAAGATTGCAAAAAGTTAACACAATCATAAGATATGTACATAGTTTTAAATAATATTAAGAAACATTTAGTCCTGTACTGAGATGGGTGGACGACATTGTCAAAGTTGCGGACAGTAGATGGGTGAGATTAACACTGGATCGTAGTGGATGGCAAAAAACTACTGGAGGTCTATACCCAGCGATGAGTGAAGTCGGGCTGATGATGATGAAAAAATATGGCACTTCATCTTCCGAAAAATGTACAACCTTGGTGGCATTTTCTCATTGCACAATACCTTCAGGTACCAATAGTTGTCCCTACTCACATCCTAGTGTTTGACAACTTCTATATACGACTGTCAAGTATTGGGTCCCCACAGTAAAACAGTCTTTGACACTCATGTCAAACACTACTCAAATTACCCACAGAAACTTGTCACCAACAGAGTAATTCAAATCTACGTTCTCCGTCCTTACCAAATGGTCGAAATTAAGTTTTAAAAACATTCATTTGTATGAGTACTTGACACGGGTGTTAACTACTACTATACGTTGAAATTTTACACCAGTGTTTGACATGCTCTAAAATAAAAAAAATAAACGACATACATCAATAAATACACACAAAATAAACTGTTTGTACAGTCACCTAATAGTTTTGATAAACACTTAGGTACAGATAATTAAATCAATTCCGACTAATAAATACACTCGAACTAGTCAATGTCTTAACAATTCTTGGAAGAACACCAACGCGCTTTCAACTCGGATCACCTTTTAGTATCGGAGTATCGGATTACCTTGAAGTACAGATATTTTTCCGTAGAATTGTAATTTGAACAAGTTCTTGATTATTTGCTACATGTGATTAAATTTGTCGGTATATTCTGTGTTCATTTTTAAGTAACTTTAATATTACACATTTCAGTAAGTAGCAGTGGAGGTTCCTGTGAAAAAGTTCGTTCAGGGAAATATTGCCACCTTACTTATTCTGTCGCCGAATAACCCAATATTGGGTTTCGGTTTTGAAGGGTAAGAGTGCTGGTGAAATTACAGACACATGGGATTTGTCAAGTTATGCCTCATGGTGTTGGGCGCAGTGACAGTGCCCCTCAGATCAATTTCATTTGTTTTTTCGCTGCGATTTCATTTGTTTTTTCGGAACCTTTATCATTTCCATAGATTTAGTATATCGATATACTAAATGTATGATCATTTCCCTTAAAAAAAGTATATCGCTTTTCACGTTTAGTTCAAATAAAAGAAATGTTCTACATTTTATGCTAAGATTAAAGACGAAACGACTTTCATTTGTCGAGAGATCAAAATACACAGGATTCCTTTGGAGCTAATCGGACTTTATTACGCTTAATTAAATTCCAAGAGACAATAGCCTTGTATATATTGAATTACAAACTTATTTCTGGATTCAACTAAGACGAATCATCCGAACATCTGTATGGACAAATATATAAGATTCAATTTTGGCAATTGTAAAAGTAAATTGGTGCAATTTAGTTGTTTACCAGATTATTGCACGGGTAAACAAGAATCAAATTGCTGTCGCTTCCTTTTTAAGTTAATTTTAAAGTTCATATTTTCAATCTTATTG